AAAAGTTAAATTAGCGAACATTTCATACCCCAATTAACCTAATGACTATATATTGTTCTTCCAATATTTAGAATTTAAAACTCAGCTATATATTTATCTTATTCACCTTTTAATTACAGGCCTTCTATAGGATCAGTACTGGAATTTTAGCAAGAGGTGAAAAAATAAAGGTATGTTCTTTAGCAGGAATAATTAATCCAACATTAATTTATTCCTCAAAAAAGTGTTGGTGTCTATATTGCACTTACTGTTTGAGAGAAAGCAAAGGTATTGAACAGAAGGTTCCTTCACCAGTAGACACTAAAGACTTTATTCTTGAATTAATTCAACAAAGACATTTTAAGACATTTTGTTATTTTTAAATCTGTGCTATTGGTACGTGCCTATGAACATAAGTGCCTTCGGAGGCTACAGGTAATATGGGTGCTGGGACCTGAACTTGGTTCATCTGGAACAGCAGTATATACTTTTAGCCATTCAGCCGTCTCTTCCACTCTTAACATTTTTATTTTTGATTCTCAAAAGTTTTTTCATATAAATACTTTATCAAAGTTAAAGACAAGTTCTAACGGCTTATGAAAAGATCATTAATAAGGGAAATGTGGCTTTTACAAACCTAATGTTACAGTTCTAATATGGATGTATATTTATGAGAGTAAATGAAAAAACAAAAAAAGTAAACATTCATGTTATTTGAAAAAAATCCCTTTATTTTACCTGGCATAAATTAATACCCATAAAAGCTATTCAATCCGAAATTGATTAAATTTCTTGGGAATATAGTATTCAATTACTAGGAACAAAAAAAAAAATCAAAACAAAACAAAACAAAAAAAAAAACCTATCTTGACTAAAACAATGTCTCAATGTTTTATTTAAGTAAATTACCTAATATACATTACATAGTGCTTACCTGTTCATAAAATGCCTAGATCCTTTGAACTAGGCTAATATAATTTAGGCCAAAGACTACGAAAGTATAATAGTGATGGAAACCATTTCCTGTCAGATTTCCCCCTTTTCATCCTGTCCTCTTCACTTTCTCATACATAAATCGTATTACAGTAAACCTCGTTACAGGAGATCTTCCTAATAATCTACTCTAGAATTAATGATGACACAAAGGACTTTTAAGTATGGCAAAGTCACCATGGTCATATGAATCTGAACATTAGAATGCTTTCTATGAGTTAGCCTTGCTTATATGCTTAAATTAGAAGATGAAGCCTGAAACAGTGGTTTGGTAGGGGCAGAAACACACTGTGAAGCAGAATGCTGGCCAACTAAGCTTTGTAATATGTGGTGTCGCTCTGGGAGTCACAGGCCAGAGCCTGGCATCTCCAGGGTCCTTTCATTACTGGCTGTGGAAAACTAAAGATACATCTGTTCTTTTGCAGTCTCCTGCTGGAATCATTATTATTCCATATTCCTCATACTCAGTTTCCACCCAGCCAAACCACTGTCATCAATAAAAGTAGGGTTTCTGCATTCCATTGGTCACTTTATAATAAAGTTCTCTGAGTAGTAAAATCCATTCTAGAAATAACACAATTAAATTCAAACTATTTAGTCATGAGAAATAAATGCAAAGTAAACAGTTTAATGAAGCTGACTAGCACATACCGCTCTGAAATTGGCTAGTCTTTAAAGCGATAATCTAAAAGATAATACACTAATTATTAGAGTTTTAATCTAACAGTATAAATCTCTTTAGCTGACTTCACCACAGTTATACATCTTATAATTGTTTTGTGTGTGTGTAAAGAAAAGCAACTTGCCTCTAATGTCTTTCAATATAAATTTAAGTGTGAAATTAAAATGTTAAAAGAATGCTTTTTAAACAATCAGGCATAAAAATCTTTAAGAGTCTAATGCACCTTATTTCGATAATTTTTTTTGAAACATGACACTGAATATAACATTCATCTAATTTCCCTGGAAGGGTTTATCTCAAGCATTCTAAAGCAAATGGTTATTAAATAATGCAAAAGCCTAATAAGTTGTCAGCTTCTAGAACACTTATTCATTACTGACAAATGAGAAAATGATTCAGGAGAAAAGAAAAATTGGATTATTTTAATGTTTACATCAATGACAAAACTTTTTATATTTTAGCATGTTTTATATATTTTGAAAAGATGTCTCATCGTTCTGCTCATTTTTAAATTTATTACATACATCAACGAATCCACACAGATTCAGCTGTGCATTCTTATGAATAGATACTTGGGAAAGCACAGCAGTGAGAGAAATATGCAAACTTCCCGCCATATACAACTGTATAGTACTGACCCTTGTTTAGGTCTGCAAAGTTGGCGAAATTTATTAAAAGTATTGTTTTAAGTGCCATAAAATCTGTATATAGTATCCTTAAAATACAAATGCTGCTATAGTTTAGTTATATTTTAATTTCAAAGGTTATAATTAACTAAGCTTACATGAATTTTAAAATCAGATCTATCATGTTTGACTTGTTCAGTTAAAAGCATCTTGTGCATATTTCTAATTTTCTAACAATCTTGGAGATTAAACAAAGGTTGGTAGGACTTGGCATTGCACAATTCAGCAACTTTCTATTTTATGTTAAGCATTTGTTTTTAGAATGTTGAAAGGTTTGTCCTCATTCGATTAAGTCAAAACTGGCTGGCGATCAGAACAGAATTCCACCAGATTGCTGATGATGCAAGAAAGTCTAAATGAATTAAGGTCTAGAAAATTCCTAGTAAAGAGTTACTTTCGCTACTGGCAGGACAGTGGGAGAAGAAAGCCAAAATTCAACAGCATATATGAGATGGTGAGACCAGAATCCCAAGAACCTCAACAAAGAACACCTGCCAAGTGCCTAGTCTACACTCTGTCCAAGAGGTTTCCCTCAACAGTCACAGAAAGCTTCAGAACACACCACTTCTATGAGTGATTTTGATTCCTGCTTCCCAAGCACTGTAAGGAGAATGGGTTATCAGCTTGAAATAAGGAGGGTGTAGCCAGGGTTTAGCTCTCAAGCAGTTCTGCTTGCCAGTCAGTTTATCCATCAATACAGCCTAATGACGGAGCTCCAATTATCAAGCATTATTGCTGCTTTCTCACTAAGTAAATTTAATATGGGAAAGCCAATTTTATAGAGGCAGATTTGCATGGATGCGGGTGCCAGGGCTCCTCACTGCAAGTGTCTAGTTTGGCCTCAAAATATCACAAGTCAGATGAAACTAATTCTCAGTCCAAACAATATTCAAGATATGAATAATAATTTAAATGACATGAATAACGTACGGTCACCCCTTCCTACTCATAGATGCCCCTTATAGCCATAAGATAAATTGTACTTTCTACTTGAAAATGTTTGCTACATTTCTAAAGAACAACATTTAGTGAATTAAAGTTAGTTATAGGAAAAACTTGGACATTTGGGAGTTTTACAAGTTGCTTTCTGAATTGTTTTGCCACATAAAATGGAGTTATTTCCTGTCCTACCTACCATCCAAACACCTGTTTATCTCAGGCCATTCAAATAAAAATGATAATATGAAGTTTATCAAGTCTGTGATTATAGTCAACTTCTCTAAAATGCCATACATCTCTTAGAGAATTAGCAATGACTTTGTACTTTGTAAGCTATTATAGAGAAATAGGACTTTTTCACATTTTACATTTTCCCCAAAATTGATTCACAAGAATGTTTTTCTTAAAGGTTTCCAAACAAAAGGAAGTAGAATATTGGCCAAGGATCCTGAGTGGAGCAGTGGGGGCCGGTACAGAAGAATCCCTGCCTGCAAGCATATCAGCACACAGGTGACATAGGTAGGTAATATCAGGCTTAGTTCTCCACAAAAATAAAAATGTGATATTAATGGATGCTGTGGAAGCGTTTCTACCTCATCCTATGTGACTCCTGCTGTTTCCATTTGGTAAGTTCCAACTACAACTTGTATCACTGATAGTGACTTTTAAGTACTAAGCTCTAATGTCCTGCAATTGGCAAAGGGCAGTTAAAAATGTCTTGAAACAGTGAGTCACACTCTGAATGCCTAATAAAAATATCTGCTTGGAGGCTGTATCATCTTTGAAAATAATGGACAGTTACTGAGTGTGGATGTTAATAGCACTTACTGACTGTGGTGAGTCAGGAGCTTTCTTCTCTGCTGTCTTATGGATACCTTACAGTCCTGTGAAAAATATGAAGTGAACAAATAGAGACTGCAAGCCTCAAGAAAGTAAAAAAGGTGTGGTGACTGGAAGGCATTACATCTAAAACACATGAGCATTTCTTCCCTCTACCTCAGCCTTGTCCCTTCAGGTCACTTAACTGAACTCAAGTTTAAGTGTTTGGAACCTGTAAAAAATAGGCCCAAGTGACATACCACAAAAAAAGTTTCTTGAACTAGTAGGGAATTATAATGAACGAAAAGAACTGAAAATTCATTCAAGACTCATGAGTAAAAAATAGAACTAAAAGATTTTGAAGATGCAGTCAAAAATGGTCTTACATGTTCTCATTTAATAAAAATTTCAGTTTGATTCATTCTGTTTGGAATCTGAGCTTTTGGATATTTCTTAGATTCTGTGTCAAGAATATAAGACACTTAAAGGAGCCACAAATATGTTTTCATAAAAGTTTATTTGAACTTAGAAATAGGCAAATTTGTAAAGTGGGAGCAATACAGAATGTTTTATATTTGAGCATTTATTATTTACATAAATCCACCTTGCATTTTGATTTCTGTAAGCAAATCAAATGGAGCAGAACAACAATCCTCTGAACTCTGGACCCGATGCCTGTGTATTTTCAGTCCCCATTTGAGCACATGGGAAAACAAAAGCGAATGGTTTCCCTGAACATTTCATTTCTACACAGGGTTTAGCAATCACCGAGCATCACATTATTCTGGCACAAATAATCATCAAACGTCTCACCTAAGCAGCTTGATACCAGAACACTATTCTAAAGCAGGTCAATGGAATTTACCATTAATATAAAACAATGATGCACATGTGCAGTAGGCTCCCATAGAAATATGTCAACAGCTTTATTCAAGGACGTCCTTATACAAAGACTTCACATGCACAAACTGTAGGGGAAAGGAACGTGGTACCTATATGGTAACAAGTAAAGGAAAGCCCAACATCCCAATGATGACATCAAGCAAGAGAAAGGGAACATTCTACCTCCATCCAACAACCACCACACAAGCTGATGTCAGGTTCTCCAGCATTCTACTGCTCTCCCACTTGCTTCAGAAAGTTACTTACAGAACAACAGAGTATGATATTGGCATTCAATTTGACAGGAAACACATTGGTACAGTCACAATGACTTCAGGCTTACTCAATAACCCTGAAAACAGGGGTCAAAATGAGTCAATAAGGAACAGTAGTCAAAAAACATTATATGGTACAGTATGATTTCAGAAAGAGGAAAGCTCCAGTAATCTTCAATGAAGAAGGTCATTAAGAATGTTGGGATGCTGGCTATCAAAGTGAAACACCAAGACACTAACTGCAACAGAGTCCAAGCCCACACTAACTTGCATCACCTCAGTTTAATAATCCAGTAAATGACAAAAAAGACAAACAATGAAAACAACATCATATAACATAGCAATTTTGTTTGGCTTCCTCTGGACAAAATCTTCAGTCTTCCCATGGTTTTACCTAGAAATCCAGTTGTAGAATCAAACTGTGAATCCTATGAGAGTCAGAAAAACAAAATAAATTCTAATATTCTACACTTTCTCATTTGAGTAATTTACATATGGTTATTAGTATGTATTTTTAAAGATAATTTGTATGTTTAATCAATTCAAGAATCTATTTAATAGCTTGGGAAATCAACCTGATTACTCCATGCAAAATAAAGCAGTTTTCTCAGTGACTCTTTCATTATCCAATAAGCACTTCTTTCAGTTCCTGGGCGTAATTAAAAAATCTCAAACGATTTATGTCTTTTTCATTTCAATTATATGGATAAAAAGCCATTAACAATAAAGGCAAGTTATTTATGTGCTATACAGCATGTCTTTGTCCACTTTCTGTTAAGGCACTATTTTCCCAAGGTCAAAGATGTGAGCGTTCAGATAAAAGGACTTCAGCTAAAATTTAATATTGCTAGCACAGAAAATGGTAGAGCCTTTTGTTTAGACAAATGAATTGAAATACAGAGAAATTTACTAAAAATTAAGAGAAAATAAACACTGATGTTGCAGTATAGACGATTTAAACATACATGAAAAATACCAAATTAAAATAGATCCAGAGAAGCCTTTAAGATAAGTAGATTAGCACAGGCTAGAAATAATGCACTTGCATTAAAATCTCAGTATCCTGAGACGAGAAAGCACCAACATAATGAGGCTCTGCATAGCTGAGTCTCTGCATAGCTCAGGCTTTGAAACCCTTGATTCTTCACAGGAGTCTGTGCATCAGAACCACTTGGATGCTTTTCACAAACTACATATGCCTGGGCTCCTCTCCATGAGATTTTGAATGAGCTTATTTAAAGACAGAAACAGGAGTATCCACTTTCAAAGAATACTGTTTTCAATGCTGTATTTGCTCTTACGAGGTTGTTTTGAATGCATATGGAGAAACAAAGGGAGATCTAGAGGAGCCGGGTACCCAAAGTTAGCATTAGTGATTGGAAGGCTGCTCTGAGAAGAAAAGGTACAGGCGCTTGAGCTTGTTTAGACTACAAATAAAGGGACCATCTTTACTGAAATCTGAGAGATTTATTCAGCCCTAAGCCTTAGGAAATAGAGCTGAAGTGAAAGTGAAAAGCATTTAGTTGGTTGCAGATAAAGTGCTTTTTGATTGCTTGGTTAATAAATTACCAGTGGTCTACCCATTATGATTTCTAAGACCACTCAAAATAGCCATTAGCCTTCAGTCTTTAACAGTGCTTTATACCCAGGATTAAAATACATTGGCTTCATTCTTCACTTCTTATTTACGTTTCAGACAAGAACAATGCAAAAATACAACGGATAGAAATTACACACTGATTAGTTAAAAATGGAGTGAATCCATCAGGTCTTACAATGTCAGGGTCTATTTTAACAGGACAGAAATAAAGTGTTAACAAAAATATGTTTTTAAAAATGTAATCCTTATACATGGCCAACATACTAAATTCAAAAACATTACATAAAATTTCTTAGTTCAAATTATAATGACTTACCATTTCAGCTAATAGTTTGTTTTGATTTTTAACTTCATGGCCTATTTCAATGGAAAGCTATGAAGAAAGCATATGCATTACTACTTACAGGAAAGTATTCAAAGGTGACAAAGTAAAAGAAACAGTGCCATACTAAGTATATTTAATTTCTCAGGTGAAACTGTATTCTGGAAATGTACCCTCTCTCCTGACATGTTGTCCAGTGAAATTACTGGGAAAAAAAAAAAAAAAAAAAAAAAAAACTTCCTCTTCCACTAATGAACATATTCTCTCTTCTCTTCCTATTATCCAAACTTTGTGCTAACATTCTCCTCCTCCCTTCCTTATTCTAGCATACTTTATTCCATGTTTTTTTCAGTCATATAAAAGTATCCCTTTATATTTTTAGCAAATACTTGACCAGTTCAAATACATATACATCTAGTATTTTCTGCTAAGAAAATATGGTATTTATTGGATATAAGTCTAGATTCAATATTTTAAAGACTTCAGCTTTAATATAATAATAAGCTGGAAAGTTAGTGTTATCTACAACCTAAAATTATATAGAAAGGGTTGAATGTGTAAAACCACAGTATAAGTAATTACAGTTGGTATGCAAAATTATACCTCATACCTTCTACAACAAATTCACCAGAGGTTTCCCTTCTAAGGAACTTAAATAAATACAATTAATTACTGAAACTCTTTGTGAACTGTAAATGTTCTCATTTTAATCTGTGTAAAATCCATAGATAATACTAATATGGAATTATACTAAAATTATGGAGATCAGATATGAGCCTTTCCTCTAAATTCATCCATTTGGAGATAACAAGGCAGGCAGCCCAATTCACCCAAATAGCATGCCATTCACAACAAGGAAGGGAATCTCCAGTCTTCTAACATGGGAGCTCAATAATCAACACTAGAGGGTTTTCTTTGTTTAAGACATCCAACTCTGTTCTTCTCAATGTTGTTTCTTAACTTCTTAACATTATATGTTACTAGGTCCTTAAATTAAGTAATTTTCATTAATAAGACTTTGAAAAAATACCATATATCAAAACACTACTGTGTGTACAAGCTGAATATAATCTAATTTTCCCATGATTGAAATTAAGTACTAATTACATGTGACAATGTGAGCCAGCTTCTACTGAATGCTTCCCAAGTGTATTCTATGTTTATTGCAATGGAGAATCAACGACACATACTTTTTAAATCTCCTTGTTTAATTCCTTTAACAAAAGTTTACTGAGTATTTCTAAGAAGGAATTATACTGCATGTTCTACATGACTTTAGGTTCATAGGGGGATGAGTTAACGAGAAGTAGTACTGAGATAAACCATGGAGAGAGGCAGATGCAGCAATAGGCTTTTCATGAAGAAGACAACTTCAAAGGAGGAAGATGATGACACTGCTAAAGACACAGTTTGATTTTAAAAATCCAAATAGGGGCAACATCTGTATGCAGAGAACAAAAGAGAACTCTCACTTGTCTGGAAGCAAAGACGTAAGGATTATGGATGCATTGGAGAGAAATTCTGAAAGGTTGAGGCCACTCTCTGAAGAACATATAGCACAGTCTACAGAGTAATAGGGGAATCCAAAGACTTCTGAGAGGGCTTTAACAAAAGTCTACCGATGACAAAATCATGTAGACCACGGCAAGCTGGGACACTCAAGAGATTCTCCCAGGGTTCTATGCATAAAAAATCATGGCCATGTTAGAGAAACATGAGAAAGCCCACAACTCAAATAAGGCTCAAAGATGTAGGTGAGCAAGACTTATGTATTAGAGTTAAGCCACTAGCAGCAAAAGCTGGAAGGGCTATTTCAGTGGCTCTCCTGATGCATTCTCCAATGAAACCATTAGAAAATAAATGGAAAGTTGCTCCTACTTCCAACTGTGACATTGTCTCTCACCTCTTCCTTATAACATTCAACCTACTTATTAACATTCTATGGTTCTGTTACTCTAGCACACTTTGTTTTCCCTTTTATTCATATAAATTAAATGTTTTCATCTATAGATTCCTTACATTTCACTTTGTACAAGTATTCACATGAACAAATACACAAATACACACATTTAATATATTCCCAACGAAATATGGCATTTATTTTATTATAAGTCTAGACTGATTATTTTAAGTATTTTTTTCTTTACGATATTAACAAATTGGAAAATTACAAATTAGAATTATCTATGACTTAAGTTACATAGAAAGCATGACTGGCTGTTTGAACCACACATAAATACAGATTTTGCTAGTACACAAACACAATTACAGTTAAGGGTTGAGAAAAAAATTAAACAAAAGTACCCTATCCTTTAGCTTGCCCCACCTTCTTACTTAACGGGCAGCCTGGACTTCTGATGAATGTTGACCTCACAGCACAAGTGTTCAAATGAGCTCCTAACTATGAAGCCAGAAAGTTTGAATACACAAGTAAAGTGTGAACAGCACTGGTTCTGTACTTACAGATTTGATAGCAGTCACTTTGCTTCTCAGACTTTCAGTGAGTCTGTCATTTTCTTCTTCACAGGCATTATAGCCACTGCTGGCATAGCCATAGTTTCCATAGTTGCCAGGAGGTGCTCCTTCACCTACAAGGGTCAGAGGCATACGTGTAGGATTGCAAATACAGAAGTGACTCTTGAAAGCTTAGTAGTTAAAAAGAACTGAAAAAGACCCCTGGAGGGCGTTGCAGACCACATATATCTATAATAGTCACACTGCAAATCAACTTCAAAAAATCAGAACCAGAGATTATAATGATTCTTTTCAGATCCTCTTTTAAGCAAAGTATGCAGTTTCTTCAATACACACCTATTGATCACTTATTGATTGCTTAAAAGACACTAAAACAGACATTGATATACAATGATTATTTGGGAGACTTTTCCTGCACATTAGAATATACGCTTTAATATAGGACACAAACACAAAACCATCTACCCATCAAAAAGCTTGACTATTACAAGGAAAGGGGGGAAGAAAACATGGAGAGGGGTTCTAAAGGCAGAAAATGGGTGTTTATTTTACTAGCAACCTTCACTTATAAAAAGCAAGTGGTGAATAGCCAAGGAACAAAGGGAAATGGAAGCCAAAAGGAAAGAGATGCAATGACTTGGAGAGGCCATTAGCAGAGCCTTCTGAAGAAGTTCACTCATTTGTCCACCAATATTCAAGAAGCTATTATGTGTCAACTCACTTTTCCTGCTACATTTACAGAATCTGCATTCTGATACATGGTTTGGAAAACACAGCACCCCCATTACTCTGTCTACTACAGTACTTGGCAGTCATCAGGAAAACAACAGGTATAATGAGCATCAGGCAGCAAATAAAACATAAATAATGTTGGAACTGAGGGTATTATTCCACCAAGATTTTATACACTGATATCATTATTTTCTTAGTGAAGGAAGAAAGTGGGCTACCCCGTGAGGAAGAGAGATCTTTTAGAATAAAGCAGTGACTAAAATCATTCAGTATTTCTAGAAGAATAAATTGACCATGGCTGTGGCAGTACACAGGATTAGCTTCTGACTTTCCAGATATGAGACCTCTCAACAGAAGGGCTCCTTGGTCTCAATCAGTTGTTGAGAAGCTACACTGTTGGATGGACCTAGGACTAGAAATTTTAACATTGGGACTGCAAAGAACAAAGCCCCCCCCAAATTTGAAATAGCTCGACAAATAGTGCAGAATGTATTAAAGGGCCTAGATTGTCTATGGCTGGAAGCACCTTCTTTAGTGACTCAAGAAGGTGGAAGAAAGGCATAGCCTTAAAGCTATAGGCTGCCATAGGCTCAAAGTGCAAATGGAGTAACAATGGTAGTGAGAACAATAGTAACAGCTGCAAGAGTGGGTAGCAGTAAGTCTAGTAGCTGTAGCTGAAGGATGATTTGAATAAAAATCGAACAAAAAACTCTTTCAAAGCACAGCGCAAATTTAATTTTATTGAAGTAGCAAAACTCTTGAATCCCAACAGTTCTGACTGTATAACATCAACACTGACCTCTAGATTGAACTATAAGAGCTTAAACTAAATTTATTCATTATTCATGCTTTATCTCCATAAACACACACACTACCATCATCACCACTACCTTACTTTAAGTGAATACTTATAAATTAACGAACCATACAATTTTAATTTACTGCTAAGCAACTTTGTCAAAAGCAGTGTCTCATGCTTCTACCTTCTCCCGTACATAGTAAGTGCTATCTACGCATCAGACACCTACATTTCTTCTTCTACCACAAAAGCCACAACAACAAAATGCTGAATATTCCAAACAGATGGGACAGTTATATACTCAAATACCTATCAACTACTGGCATGCTAACCCTGAATTCTCAACACATGTTTTCAAACAGATTAAAAGCTGTTGAACTGGGCATAATAATTTCTTCCCACTCACCAACTAAAATCAATACTGAAAGATTCTATGCAAACAAGATTCAAGACCTTTAACTTGACTAAGGATCTGAGTATGACATATTGCCCACTAAGTAATTCTGGAGTGGCTAAAGTTAATCAATGGATAACTCTCCCAAGGAATTCATTCAAAATTAATAGCTGTTTTATTTCTATTGTTTTGACTCCCCGACAAATCTTAAGTTTAGTTTGTTCTTCCCCTTTATTTTTCTAAAGCAAAACTCTCACTTTTTGTTCATAAATTTTTATTGCAGTTCCAAATTTGATCTTTCTTCAAACCATCCTCTACCCCAATGCAAAAAACAAAAATAAAATAAAATACTAGAGTTCCTATCAAACTTGGCTCCATTGCTTTTCTGTGAGAGTTGCTTACTACTAGGAAGAGCTGTAGAAAAACAAGTCCTGAATGTCATCTTCAGTCTACAGCCTTTCTGAAAAGTGCTACTTCCTTGAAGCATGTTCTATGAACAATCAGGCCAATTCATTTAACAGCAGATTTTACATATGATTATCATGTTCACTATTATTTTGAATTTAAAATTCCAGGTAAATACACATCGGTACTTTAAAAGTCTTCATAACTTTACCCCAATGTAAGTAATAACATACTTTAATAGTTACCCTTTTCTCGACTGCACAGCCACTTTAAAAAAATATTAGGAAGGGACTCTAGTCTAGTGATTCTTACTTAATTAAGATCTATTTAATATCTCTCTGAGTAATTCCAACATACAATCAGAGCTACAAAACTATCGTCAAGTCCCTGCCCTACATGTAATAAAAAACAATACAACACAAACAATATCCCAATAGGCCAGTGGCCTACTGATAAAATGTAAACTCCTTGGATAGACAAATTTCAGAATGCCTCAGGGTCCTAGCTTCAAAGTGACCTGATCACCATAATCTCTTGTACACATCATTTGTAACTCTATTCCTGAATCTTTGTCATCTTCCCATCTGGAACCTACTTCTCCCAATCCCTCTTGTCAAAGGCACCCTTCAAGTTCCTCTTGCTCCAGAAAGTACACACACAATGACCCGTGTATCATTAAATATCTACTGCATTCACTGTTTAACTTAATTGGTGTTGAGGTGAAAAATTACCGCCTTGGATCATGATTTGTCTTCTGCTTCAGAAGTATTTTTCTTCTACTCCTCAGTGACACTGGACACTTTGGGAAGTACACACTGGGTCACAAATCATCACCCACATAAAGCTTATGTTGCAATAAATGTTGCCATTAGTGATAAAATAATTTGGGCATATAAGACTAATCTCTGAAATTAGTTCTTTAGATTATTTGACATGGACTACTTTCTTCCAGTACTTGCAAGCATTCAAAAAACTAAATTTATAAATTTCTTCACATGAAACTATTTATTGATAACCAGGTAGTCTATATTACTATTACCTTTCACTGCCAATGTTTTTCTATGGTTTTAAATTACCCACTCTCTACTCCTATAACTAACCTTATTAAAAATCCCACTATCTCTCTGCACTGTCTTGAGTATTGTATTCCTTCTCAGACAACCACAATTCATACCAAGCAGCGAGTTCTGGGTTGCAAAATAGTCTTTTTTTATTTGCCTTGTCTAGCTTTAAGTGTTTGTTCATTTACTGGTTTTAAACACATAAAATTAAAAAAAAAAAAGTCCAACTTATGACAGAATGGTAACACCCTTTTCAATGTTTCATTCATTTTCTTTTACAAGCATGCCGTCCTTCTTAAAAACAACAAAAACCATGTTAATAGAGAAGTTCAGAACCAGAAAATGCTAGTCTGATTATTTTGCTATTACTTCTCTTGATCCATAAAGGCAAAGTCATCAAAAACTTATCACCGTCTATTGCCTTAACAGAGGGGCAAGGTCTAGGCCAGAAACTTTCCAGGTAAGTCGCCTTTGACCCAAGACCTTCACAACTGGCACTCTAACAATAATGACGCGTAAATTTACCTTTGTAACTCGCTGTCATCACACTAACATACCATCATTAGCGAGCTGGGGAGTTTAACACCCCCTCTCCAAATGCCATTTCTAAGGAAAGTAAGATCCAGAATGAGTAAAGAAAAGGGAACGGGGCTAGGCTCGCGAAGGAAACACAGCTACTTCCCAAAGTAGACACAAGGTGAGGGAACTCTAGACTACCAATGCTTCTCCACTCTGTAAAACTTACCATACAAACTTTCCTCTAAACTAAAGTAAACCGCTCAGAACGGGGACAAATGGTGCGCTTCCACTCGGCACCTCCTTCAAAGAGCCCACAGCGCTGGCTTTCCAGCCCCAAAGTCCCTGACAGCGACAGAGGCCGGCAGAGCCCCCCTCGCCCATCCCGGCTCCACAGGTCCTAGGCTCCCAAACTTCGAACCCCAGCCCTGTTCTTACCCAGGCCTGCACGCCTCATCCTGCCGGGAGCGGGGAAGGCGGGCGAGGAGGAGTGGGTAGGAAAGGGCCAGGGTCGCCGGACTTCGGCTTCAGTCCCAGGGCCCCTCAGGGAATCAACTTTTTGCCTCTGAGCGCCACGACATCAGTGGAGCCTAAACACCGCGCCTGTTTATGTCGTCACCCGGACACTTACAGGCGCCCTACAATGAGGTTTAGTTGCATTCTGGGAAATGTAGTTCTCTATCAGTTCTGGTTTCTTGGCGAGGGGGCGTGGTGGGAACCTGGGCGGAGCTTCCGGAAAAGTAGCTGTGAAGGTTGTGGCCGTAGTACTGGGTGTCTGGGTCTTTTCCCCTTTCAGTGTTACCATACTTTTGAGGTTAGGGCAACAGTTAACCCAGGATATTTATTACTTCCCGGGCCAGAGGATGGTTGATTCATCCTAGTACTCCTGCTTACTCAAAGTCAGATGAGGGAAAGTCAGAGAAAACTTTCTTGAAGAGTCTCATCTTATTGCCTGAGTCTCTTAGCAGGGAAGAAAGATCAATCGATTTCTTCCTGATAGTTCAGTAAACCCATCTCCTAGCAGTAGGATTCCTGGTAGGAAAGTATGGAGTCTCATTCCTTGTCAATGCGCTTGTTCCAAATATCTGACATTTAGGTCTTAAACACTCCCTCCGGCTTAGTCCTTTTAAAACTTCCACATAGACCGTAATACTTGTTTTCATAGAGCAAGGAGTCAATGTAAGGGTTTAAAAGCTTGTTGAGAAGAGTGGGAATGTAGTGGTTCATTTTATTACAAAGGATCATTATAAGGTTACAAAGAAATAATGGTTTTGAAAACTCATAATTGTTCACAATCCATGTTAAGATGATTTACAGTGGTTAGACAGTATTTAAAATGGATCTTTCTGAAAGTGTGATCTTTGAAGAGTGGTGTTTCCCATTATAAACACTGACGATGTAAATCAATTCTCAAGCATAAACATTGACTATAATCATAGCTTAAGTGTCTGCCTTAAGGTCTAAAAGTTTCCAATGTGCTTTATTAACTGGGAAAAATAAACTCAATAGCATTAGAACAATCTCCGTAAAACAAAAACAAGCTACTATTTCTCTAAAAGCAATGCCCGACTGAGGTCAGGGAAGTTGTAACAAATAAGTCCAGAAGATTCAATGAGAGAAATGATAAGCTTCCTTTTTTACATACAAACTGTGATGGTTCTTCTCCCCACCCTACTCCCTTTGGGCATTCAAAAGAATAGGCAGAAAGTAGGCTTAATATACAGACTAATAATTACTAATCATGATCACGATCAAAAAGTAGAAAGAATTCTTTTTCTGCTTTTTTACTTTTTTCACTTTAAGTTAACCTCTAGCTCATTTCATTGACTTGGAGATGAATAGCATTAGTAATTTTGTCTCTATTCTCAGATAATCTTGTAGAAAATGTAATTCTTGACTATTTCAGGAGATTGTAAAAGATGACAAGATAAGTATTTTTGTAATAATTGCAAAAGCAAGAACATGGGCAGGAAAATTCCAGAACTTTTCCACACAATTAGAGTCTTTTATTTTTCCTGTTCTGTTGTCTCTGGTCCGCTTATATCTCCTCCTATCTCCAATACAGGTATAAACGAAGGGATAACTTTTTTTTAAAAAAAGCTCATAAACCTTGTTAGATAAACATTCAAAACATTTCCAGTCATGCAGCAAATTCAGTGTGTCAAGCACTACATTTGAACATAAAAATAGTCTAAAGTCAAGTGATTTTGACCTACAAAAAGAATATGGAACAAAAGATAGTTTGTAAGTTCATTATTTGATCCCTAAAACAGATTTCCTGGCAATGCAATATGTTTAGATTTCACATTCAGCCTAGAAAACACAAGGATACCTTAGTTCCCATGCCAGACAATTCAAATCTCTGTAACATATGGGACAATTGAAACAGTTTATATTTTATTGAAGAAGATACAGATAAAAATAAATCCCCCCTAATTCAAAATAAATGTTTGTGATTAAAGATTTGAAAGCATAACAGTTTTTCTTAATTCCATGAAACCCTCAACATCATGCTATTTTCCCATTTGATTTTGACATTCTAGTGAAGAAAGTTAATTATTAATATGAATTTACTCTTTATAAAATGACAATTTCAAGTATGAACAAAACATTTAACAAGTGAAGTCAATACAATTGTGTAATTTGTGCTTTATGGTTCATAGATGAATATATATTTCCTTGTCAGAACACTGGAAACAGTTCATCAAATTAACATATATTACACTGTAAGTGTGTGTGTGTGTGTGTGTGTATGTGCGTGTGTGTGTGTGTGTTTGCATGCTCATGAATATGGATGTCAAAGGATGACTTGGGAATTGGTGTTCTCCTCCTCCTATGTGGGTTCTGAGGAGACCAACTAAGATCATTTGCAGCAAGTAGCCTTGACTACTGAACCACCTTGCTAGCCCATCTTAATTGCACATCTTAGTAGATACATATTATGTTAACACTATGCCTTCAGCTTGCTGTAGTTTAATAACTGAAAGAAAAAGGAGTTTTGTTGTCTTTGCCTCTGTTTCTAAGTAATTATTTTTAAGATCCTTGGTGATTTCCTTCTTTCACCATAAGTTCACAAGCAGAAGACTATGGGGGCTGTAAGAGGACAGACTCAGGCATGAGCTTGCCATCTTTACCATCTTTAGCTTGAATCCTTTCTGTATCTTGCCCAACTTTGATGAATTAGAGGGCTACCTATTGCGGTTAAATAAGGATCAGGATAAACAAATAGGCCGAATAGATGTTTATTCAGAGAGAAATAACTTAGAACCTAGACAGATGAACACTAGCAAGTCCCACCTGATGCTCTCCTCTCCACCACCTGCCAGCAAGAGAGCATCCCCCCGGCTCCTTCTCAGACCTCCTTCCACAGGTCCCTTCCGCCCCTGGCTCCACCCCCAATGGGCGTGGTCAGTGCCACAGAAGGAGACAAAGTGAATATCCCACTACAATTCCCCTTGTAGTATAAAGAAAAGATTTAGGCTTGAAACAAAACTATATATAAAATAGTGAATAACAAGTGTGCTCTAAGAAAAGGAAAACCAAGAACAAAACAACCTACATATCTAGTCCTAGGGTGAAGACATAACGGAGTTTACAATAGAATTGTCCTAAGCTGGAAAACGTAAGTCTAGTACCTAATATATCTAACTAGGAAGAGAGAATAATAGTTGTGATAGTTTAATCTTCAACCTCATTCAGCTAACAGAATCCAGAGCATGCTCACAAAGAACAATGAAAGCCCTCACTACAAATATAACCTTTGCTCATAAACATGTTATATTGTCCCATAGATTTTATATACATGACACAAGGGCAGAAGTTGTTAAGGATTTCAGAACAGTGACTTAAGAACACCAAATAAGTGTGGGAGCCCACTAAAAGGCACAGTGAAACTGTGTAGGTTGTATATGCATGAACTTGTCTTCAGAAAGAAATAATTGAATATTCAAAGCCATAATTGGTAGAGGAGACTATAGATGAGACAGATGTGATATATAAAGATAGGTAGATAGAGAGAAAAATGGATTGGTACAGATAGATAGATACACAGAGAGACTGAGTAAAGTGGGTACTTCACCTAACAGTGATATTGAGAGGGGAGAAAGTAGGGAAATTCATATATATGATATCCCAAGGGTAAGAAAGAAAGGACAGAGTTGTATGTGCACACTCCTTTCAAACTACCCACCAATCAAGTTTCTTTGTAGAATAAGTATGGTTCTGTGGTTAATGAAACATACATGAGTGGAGTTCTTATGATTTAATAAGACTAGACAATAAAAAAAAATAGTCCTTAAGACAGGGACTTTAGCAGACCCTGAGGATTGGATGTAGTGACAGGAAATGACACTGCTGCTGTACACAACTCCAAGATGCTGATTCCTTGCAGCACTCCAGTTGCTTTACCAAGTCCTTGTTCTGGGAAATAATTCCCAGAACACCATGTGATCAGTAGAACAATGTCGTAAAGCCAAAGTTTAAAATAGACCCTCTACCATTTTAATATTCCAATTTTAAAATTTAAAATTTGTTAACATTTCTAAAGCATCATTTCAGAATAATAGAAATATATTCCATTTCCATAGGATTTGCTTTAAAGGGTAATTTTTCCTACCACTCTTTATCAACTTGGTCAAGTTTATAGTCATTTCAATAGCATTTATTTTTAGGAAATGTGAGGATCGATGACACATTTAAAGTGCCAAGGGAAACATAAAACATACAGATTAGTTTTGTCCCTATGGCACTGATACAATACAGAGACAGATATGTGTTATTATCAGTATATCTCTTGCCTTTTTAAACCAGGGGTCCTGAATAGTGTTCTATATTTAAAAGGCAAAAAGTTCTTCAGAAATTGAAGTATATACATTAGTTTTATTTATAATACTGATATAAGAATTTGGAACTGAGGAAAGGATAACAAGATATACATATTCAGTTCCGATGCAATTCTTCCCTCTTCCAGCCTGTAGGTGGTTTTGTTTTGTTTTGTTTTTTTCGGGGGGGGGAATCAGATCCCCCTGTAAACAACACTGAGACTTATTAGGTTTAAAATTTTGGCCAATAGCTTAGGCTTGTTACTAACTAGCTCTTATAACTTAAAGTAACCCATATTTCTTATCTATAGTCTACCATGTAGCTCATTACCTTTCCTTAGCACAACATGTTCATCTTGCTTCCCCAAGTCTCCTGGCGACTCCATTCATTCTTCATCCCAGCTCTTTCTCTCTGTATGAAAGTCCCATCTAAACTCTTCTTGCCTAACAATTGGCCATTCAGTTCTTTATTAAACCGATGAGAGCAATACATCTTCACAGTGCACAAAAAGATTATTCTACAACATTTTCTCCTTTTTTGTGTAATTAAAAAGGAAACGTCTAACAACTTTAATAAAGCAAAACTGTACACGACAAAACAGTTATCAAATAAGAATTACAGTTACTATATCCAGCTCATTTGTATTTGGCAAATTTAGAGAAAATACTCTATTGTCTAAACAATTGTAAGTCTTTTTATGCCTAATTTATTTTATCATAACTAAGTAAACCTATAATTCTAACTATTAAGTCCTTAACTCCATGAAAGACTGCGAAAGGATGTAATATTACATAATGATAG